TATATATATATATATATATATATATATATATATATATATATATATATATAGTTTTAGATAATTAAATTTTCCGTAAGTAACTTCTAACTTTTTAACTTCTAACTGAGTTAGTATTTTATTTTAGTAACTTTTAACATAAATTCAATTATTTTATAGCAAACTAACTTTTAACTTAACTTAATTAGAAACCAAAAGAAACTTACCTAACTTTGTGTCTTCGTCTTGTTGCTGTGTCGTCCGTCGTGGTCGGTGATTGTGCTTGCGATGATCATGCAATGCATGATCACCGCCTGTAGTAAATCGTTGTATCCATCTGCGAACTGTTTTTATAGAGCAGGGAATATCAGCAGCAATATCTGCTACTGGTTTCCCAGACTGCCACTGTCCAACTATTCGACCTCTTACTTCGGGGCACAAATTTGTATACATAACTTTGTGCACACTTACAGAAAGTCAGAAAATACAACGCACCGCCTTTTGCGAATTGTATTTATATGCGCGTATTTATCTGAGCGCGCAATGTGGCAAGCAGGACATACGGTTCGTCGCGGCCGTCGAAGAAAACAAACGATTGCTTGCGGGTCATATAAACTAGAGAGGTGGACCGTTTGGTAGCATACTGAAATAGCTCCATGTGTGCCTCCTTGTGTACAAGTTCCGTAACTATAAAGATAAGGTATGGTCTACAATGGGTGTCTTAATAATCAACTATAATTGGCTTATGCTCTATGCACAATGCCAGACAACAGGCAATAGGAACAGGGAATTTGGATTGATCAATTATTCCCTATTCCTATTGGCTAATGTCTATTCCTATTGCATGGCATTGTGCATAGAGCGTTGTTGTTGTTTTTCTATGGTTTTGGAGTTAAGTCCATTAACCAGAAAAGAAAGTCCAATAGAACAGTGGTAAGGAATTACTCAAATTCTTCTTCGCTGCTCAAAGAGAGCAATCTCTCTAAAAGCGTCCACATTGTCACTGAAAGCCACATTAGTAATTTCGATTGGTCCGGCGCGGAGCAGTCCAATCCGTAACAAATCAGACTCCCGACTATTACGCGGGCAATACAAAAACAAATGATTCAAAGTCATCACACTCACAATATAGGCTATCGACAATTCCTTTATCAAATAAATGTTGAGCAGTATTTGTATGAAAAGATCTTATACGTCCTATAATCGCTAAAGTATTCCTGTTTAAATGAGTAAGCTCTTCAAACCAAGGAGACAAGGTCTTGATACGTGTTCTATGAAAATAACGAAAGCCACGCTACACAGACGTTTCAGAGGAAAACTCAAAAGTTTGTTGGCGCATACGATTGCGAAGAATTCTTTCAATAGTATTTACAAAAATGACATCCTTATGCGGATCAGATAAAAATCGACCGCAGGCGGCGTCCTTGGCCATAACATCAGCGGACTCATTACCACAATGCCAACATGTCCTGGTATCCACATAAAACGTATACATCCTTCAGAAATCAGCTTCAGAAATTGTTCTTTAATCATGTGAATCAGGTTGTGTTGCTTATTCTTGGAATTATTGTTAGCCAAAGTACTAATGACGCTTTTAGAGTCCAAAGCAACAATAAAACTTTTCGTGGTATTATGCCCAATTTCTTCACCTCCGGTTAACTTTATCTGCCAGTTATTCTATTGGAATTGACCAATCATATTTATGGTTGACAAAATTAACCAATCACGGTTGACATTTATCCGACAGATAAAGTTAACTGAAGGTGAAGAAATTGGGCATTAGACTCCGATATGGTCAAGAGTGCGTGTACAATAGTCATGGCCTCATTGTGCATAGAGCGTAAGTCCCGATCTACAATAGGTGTAGTAAGCTTTAAGAATTAACCAATTAGCGTAAGAAATTAACCAATCACGATTGATTATTCTTTTATAATTCGACTCTGATTGGTAAATTTTTTAAAGCTTACTACACTTATGGTAGATCGGGACTAATGGCTCCTACACACAGAACGCGGTAATGCTTACGCGCGGCGGAAGTTCGCGCGACAGCCAATCAATATGCTGCTTTCCGTAATAACTTTCTAGCTCTTACGGAAAAACAACATATTGATTGGCTGTCGCGCGGACTTCCGCCACGCAGCAAGCATTACCACGTCCTGTGTGCAGGAGCCATACGCGTCTAGACGCGCGTTAAAAGCAGAAAAATATTGATATTTTAACAACATTTTTTATACTGAATTATTTGTATTTCATTTAGATTAAAGTGCATTTGAGAAAATTTGCGAGTTTACAGAATTATTTTAATTAATTATTTTTAGATCATGAAAAGTTGACTGAATAATTTATGAAGCATAAATATTTAAACACAAACGTGTACAAACACACTAAAAATGAAAAATCATCAATATTTTGATTAATTATCGTCGAAGATTATTGTAATTTGATTTTTCTCGTATTCGATGTTATTATAACTGGGAACAAACTCGTCTAGAGAATGCAAGATATATGAGAGAAGTTACATTTATTAAAGTTTATTCAGACAAAAACTTGCATAGTCATGTAATACTCATGCACATGGAAGTCGATTAATACTGTCTAAAAAAAAAAATTCCTTTTGCTGCATAAACAATTTGTTGATTTGCTTGTGCACATGCATTACGTGAATATGAGACTTTGTTTGAATAAACTTGTATCAAAATCAGATAAAATGCAACTCGTATTCAATTTGATATAGATATTTTTAATAATTTCGGTTATCCTCACGATTACGATCGCGGTCGCGATCGCGATCGCGCCTTTGGCGGCTCCAATCCTGTCCCTGACGATTATAGTTTTGCCTGTCGCGGAAGTTGCCTTGGTTTCTTGAGAAGAAATTACCTGCAAGGATTAATATTTATTGTATACAGAAATATAAGTCGCACGCGCGACGTTCTTACAATTTGTCACAATAGACATAAATGAATAAACTTATATTTGCGCATATACGTTGAAATAAACGAAGAAATATGTGCTTAGAAAAAAATTGTGTATCTCGCTTACCCTGCTTCATCTCGAAGATGCGTTCGTTCGAGTCGACGAAATTGTTAACTTTATCCGTGAGTTGCAAAGCTAAGGATTGCAGACGGCTCGGCTCGCTGCGATGCATCACTACAGTCTCCGTCGGGTCGTCCAGTGACGCCTAAATTTGTGGAAAGAAGAAACGTTACTTTCATAACACATATAGAAACAATATCACTACACAACGTACCATAAGTTCTTCATTGATAATCATTTTACTAATGGTGGAATGGACCACAGGACGTTTCAGTTGGAACATATCAGCGAGTTTCGGCATCGAGATAGAATCGTACACGTGGGAGTACGTGAACAGATATGTCCTCAATGCTTCCTCCTTGATCAATCGCGTTAGCATAGCTCGTACTTTGTCCGCTTGATGAAAGAGATCCCAGACCTGCGATATTTGAAAGCAGCGCGACTTATATTCTCGATATCCCGCGTCTGAAAGGAATCTCTAGCGCGAGAGAAATCTTTACCTTTGCGTTCATCTTCTCATTAATGATGAAATTGTTGCAAGCCGCCCAATTGCCGTTACGCATCGCTTTTGCAGCAGCGACGACGTGCTCTCTCATTGATTCCGGCGGTCCTACTAACGATTGACGCTCGCTAGATCGCAATTGTTGATAGAAAGTCTTTGAAATCATCCTTCTTCTTGCATCGAATTCGTGCGCTAGAATTTAAGTGGATTCTGGATAAATATAAATATTGAAGATGAGTGTGTTCAATAATGTTGAATGCTAAAAATAATGTTTAAATATATTAAATATATATGCCAAGAAAAAAAAGAAAGATAAAATACTAATATGTTAAGTACAAGAGAAGAACATACCAGCCATGTACGGAATTTCTATGAGCATTGCCGAAACGAGATATACACATTCGAGGAGCTCTAAATTGATGTGCATATGGAAAGGCATTTGCCTCTGCTTCTCGATTTTCTCTTGCTCTTTGCTGCGCTCGTGTTGTCGTTGCGGCAGCAAACCCTGCGCCAAAAGTTCCTTCACCTTGCCCGTCACCATCAAGTCGACTAAGCAATTGTGGGAATCTTTAATATTCGCATGACGGAATGCACATAATCCTAAGTGAGCGATCGTACGATTGTACAAAATCTAAAAACAAGTCGATTTAATTCCGTATTATTTAATGAGACAAACATTCCGTATTATTTAATGAAAAACAAAGACATATGTATACAAATACAGTACCTGTGTGGGTGGATCTGAATGCTGAATAGTTTCCTGAAGATGCGACATCAGGATTAAATCGCGCGCTTGGAACCAATTGTCATGGAGCGCGTGGTGATAAATGTGCGATAGAATCGCACGAGTTCTCAATCGATCAGTATTGTCGTGGGCGTATACATATTTACACAGCTTCTCCATCACCTGCACGGACGTGATCACATCTTGTCCCAGTTCGCCCTAGCATAATCAATAATTTTAATAAAGTAAAAAGAATCGTGTATACATATAGACATCGTGTGAGACTTACATCTTTCTGTTTAAGAACATTTGGATCGAACTTGTAGTACAAGTGTTCAATCTTGCGTAAGTATACACGGCACAGCTCAGACACGGTGCCTTGTCTCTCTAAATATTCTTGCACTTTATCTATTATGGTAGCAACTTGTTTTTCATCCTTTAATCTGTAAAAAGTGGAAACTTTTTTGCACGAAAGTGACATAAATGAATATTCTTGCATGTTTTTTAGTTGAAGAACTCCTTCCTCTTTAAATATCTTCATTTTTTAGAAATATATATGAATTTTAGTCAGTTGATGAGAATGAGCTTTTAATTCTAAAACATAACTCCATAAAAAGACACTCACCTTTCTACGTATTCGTTACTGTGCGGGTCGCACTCCTTCAGTAATTTCGTGAATTCTTCGTCGAGACGTTCCACTAACGTCAACACGCATCCGTGAATCTTGTACGGTGCCGTCTCGAATTCCTCCATCTCTTCCACGATTGTTTCCGTTATTACCATGTCCGTAGCACTCAACAGCATATCCAGCATTTCAGTAATGCGCTCCAAGATTCTGTAAAAGAATGATTAATCAATTTTTCTTACAGAGTATCCAATAATTCTATAGAGTTATACGTACTTGGACCAATATTCGGGTTTCATAGCGTCAGAAACCTTCGGATTATAATCGAATATGGAAGACACAATGGAGAACTTGATCTTCACTGTTACGGCAGGTCCAAGGGAATGCGCATCTGCGATCAATTGCAGCTCATGCAAGAGTTCTATTTGCTCCCGTCTGTCTGTACGTTTTTTACCGCGAGCTGCGATTATTTCGGACAGCTTCTTCAGCACCGCCGTGATATTGATCTCCGCATCTTTGGCGAACATCTTCGGCTTCTCAGAGGGAATAGCCACGCCGCCCTTGACGGTCTCCCATTCACCTTCGCCGTCATCTTCGTCACGCTTCTTCTTTCGTTCCTTTTCTTTACGCTCCTTTCGTTGTTCCTTTCTCTTCGCTTTATCTTCATCCTCTTCCTTATCAGTTGCTCTGTAGATAATTTGTTATGTAACATGTATTGTCAAATCGTTGTTAACTGCATGTTTGTTAAATTCTATTACAAATAAAAAAATCGTACTTTTTAATGAAACGTTCACGAATATTTTGATATTGGCCTTCGTCGTCGCTACTTGTACTCTCGCTATCCGAATCGCTGCCCCAATCGGATTCACTCTCACTGCCCTCCTCACCGTCAGTCACACCCTTCTGCAATGCAACACATACGAGAACAGGTTTATATAAAAAGTTATTTAAAATAACCAATACAATTCGTAAATCTTAGTATCGTAGAATACCTTGAATTTAGTCACATCAGGTTCACTAACTTCCGAACCAGCCTTCTTGAATGCCATAGCACTATCCTCTTCTTCTTCGGTCTCTATAATTTCTTCAGCTAAAATTATAGAAAATATTGTTTAATTTTGCATTAATTACTTTTTAGTTCTCAAAATATCAGTTAAATAAAAATTCGTGATGCATGTATTCAATTATAATAATGTAATAATTAAACCTTTTTCTTCTTCTTCATCATCATCTTGATCTGGGTTCTCTCTGAACTTAATTATGTCATCTTCAAATTCTTTGTTGTATTTCCGTAACTTTTGACGTAACGTCGAGAGCGATTTGGAATTATTCTTTGACATATTTTTGCGCCCATCCCGATCCTCCCACACTTCATTAATAAAATCCTCCATTTCAACTAAACATCTAATGTAAAATCGCGGAGTTTGTCCAAGCTCTTCCTTTGCGACTACTGGCAGAGCTTTTTGGTAAGCTCGCATTAAATCTTCAAAACCTAGAATTATAGAAATTTATAAACAAAAATGTTTTCTTCATAACATATTTATGAAATATATATATATATATATATATATATATATATATATATATATATATATATATATATATATAATATATTAATATATTCATATAATACTCATATATCTATTTTCATTAAATATGTTTTTACTAATTCAATAATTCTGAGATCATAAATATGAAATAGAAATTTTGCTATACTAAAATCACTTACTGGACAGCATGCTGCTCATATCTTTAATTTTCTTGTAATTTCTAATAAGCTTTATGAGATTTGCTATTTCTTCATATCGTTTTTCTTTTGTGGAACGTACAACACGCTTTGTTTCTTCTTCATCATCACTGAACTATAAAAGTATTTTAAATTATCTTAATAATAAAATATCTTATACACACACACATATATACATGTATTTAAATACATACAGTAAAAGCTGTCGCTGGTGCTCTTTGTATCTGCTCCTCCTCAGATGCACTATCAGACTCAGAATCTGAGCCAGTTGCAAAGAAACGACTCATGATGAAAGGTATTCAGTAATACTCTGGAGTAATCTGTAATGGTACAAAACATTAAAAGTATTAAATGTGTATTATATTTTAATTTATTAGTTCATAATCATAACGAAACTTATAAATAAATACTTGTAACAAATATGCGATGAAGCGTTAAACGTGGTAAAAATAACCTAGTATACGACACGTAAAAGATTTAAAAAATTGTACAATGTAAAAAATATAACGATAATCGAACTTAGAATGGAAAATACAATTATATAATAACTAAACAAATAGAAATCTTGTATATGCGGTATCTTCCATACGTTTTTATGGATATCTCTATGGAGTTTCCTTTTACTTAAATCATAGACACATATACTAGACTGTGCGGCTGTGCCACTGAAACATATACTACTTGGAACGCGCGCTACCTCTTGAGTATTGCGGGATGAGAGAGAGCATGTTTGTAGGTCTCGAACGCGCTCTGTCTTTGTCTAGTACAGTCTGAACCAAAAGTTAAGTCGGCTGATTTCATATATACATAAGCTGAATCTTCAAATTAGGAAACATCTTTGCTTTGTTTTCTTAATAATAAGTCAATAAGTGAATATAATAAATGAGAAAAAATATATATATTCTTTATATCTTAAACTTTCGTTTATAAGCTTAAGTCATTGCCATCCACTGCTTTTCATATTATCTCTAACTTTTAACTTGGATTGTATCACATTCTCCCCACTCTCGTTTATACTATGAACCAGACAAGAATAAGAGAGGAACAAGGAACCTCTCTCTTATCCCGTATGCCTCAAGAAGCAGCGTGCGTTCCAAGTAGTATGGTTGCTTTCCAACAAGAGACACAAGTCGACACAAGTATCATCCTATCTTTGTACTCACTAAATGTGGAACAAAGATAGAATAATGTTTGTGTCCACTTGTGTCTCTTGTTGGAAAACAACCTTTGTTCTACATTTAGTGAGTAAAGATAGGATGATAGGGTGCGTTCAGAAGACACAACTGTTGCACAACGGTTGAGTAATTAGTCAACGCAATTGGTCTAAAGTTAGGGATCTAACAGTAAGGACCAATAATCACTGACCGCTCACTGATCAGCTATGTTTTCTGAACGCAGCCATACTTGTGTCAACTTGTGTCTCTTATTAGAAAGCAATCTTAACCTGTTAACTTCAGGAGCGTCCCAGATGCGCACATTGACAAACGGACACAGCCAATCACAACGCCGTATGCCTAGAGTATTCTAGAGACTCTATAAACAACGACATATGATTGGATGTGTCCGTTTATCAATATGCGCATCTGGGACTCACTTTTCAACTTATATACATTCTAAGTTCGCATTATTGCTTTTCCCTCCTATTTTTGTATCTGTGTATTCTATGGTTATTCGGGTAATTATTCATAGTTTAGAATTAATTGAAATAATTCCGTGGACTCATAAAAATCTATTCAAACGCACTTAAATTCTTTAAATAAGATATAAACGATTTAGTATAAAATCTTGTAAGAATTGTTAAGTTGCGGCTAAAATCATTGTAAAAGAATTATTAATTAATTACAATGATTCTAAGGACTTACAACGTTTTTAATTGCACTTCACATTTTTTGCTTCAAATTAAATACAAACGATTGAATAATGTAATTTTTTATTTATTATTTGCCGGTTAACTTCATATGCGAATCTAATCGTGCTCTCCGAAACGCATCCCGAAAGAAATGACTGCAATTCGAAAATATCATCTACAGTGCTACTTTTTTTCTTTATGTTTTTGGTTTTTGTTGATGTGTGTTAAACTCATAGCAGTCTGTAAACATAATCGTAACGGAAGGACGTCGAGCGATTCAGAACGTAACTTTGCAAGTTTTGTCTTCTGATAAAAATGACATTTCACATATTACTAACGATACTTGGTTACTTCTACCTGTGTGTGAGTGCCGCGAAAGATGACAGCTGTCATTGTGGCAAGCAAATGAACCGGATGACCATCTTCAGTCCCCGCAAAGAGGAATATTGTGCCGTAGATAATTCTAAAGTGACGACGACTGATTACGCGAACGATGGGCGAACGGGGAAGATGGTCAAAATTATTGCCGGTGTATATTCCATAGGAACGAATAATCCAGTTTTCGTAGCCGACGGAGAGGGTCCGAAACGCGAAGTACTGTTAGACAGTTTTTACATAGACAAATATGAGGTGAGCAATAAGGAATTCGCAACTTTCGTCAGCTCCACCGGATACGTGACAGAAGCAGAACGTTTTGGAGATTCCTTCATCTTTGAAGGACTTTTATCACAGAACACAAAAAACATGATTAACCAAGCTGTTGCAGAAGCTCCTTGGTGGTTGCCTGTAAAGGAAGCTACATGGAAACATCCAGAAGGTCCTGACTCGAATATTACTTGTGAGTATCCAAAAGAAAGAAGAAAAATTTGTTATATTTCATGTCACACATGAGGTATATGATTCATTAAACTGTCTCTTTTATGAGTTAAGAAATAGTTAGGAAATTAATCAAAAAGTATTTAGTCAGAATGGACCATCCTGTTGTTCATGTTTCTTGGAACGATGCAACTGCTTACTGCAGTTGGCTAAAGAAAAGATTGCCAACTGAGGCAGAATGGGAAGCTGCATGCCGTGGTAATCTCTCTGATAGACATTATCCTTGGGGAAATAAAATAATGCCAAAGGATCAACACAAGTAAGTTAGATTTATCTATGTTTCTGTAATTTTTATCACATCTAATATCTTGCACAAACTTATGTCTTAATGTCAACTTTATTAGAGTCAACATTTGGCAAGGTGAATTTCCTACAAGAAACACTGCGGAAGATGGATACAAAAGTACATCACCAGTTACAGCATTCCCACAAAATAAATATGGCCTGCACAATATTGTTGGAAATGTTTGGGAATGGACATCTGATTGGTGGATAACAAGTCACTCACGTCATCAGCAAACAAATCCTGTAAGTATTTGTTTGCAATTAGGATCTATGTCAAATGTATTGTGTAATAAAGTAAATCTTATACATTATAAAATAATTATTAAATATATTCTCAGACTGGTCCACCCAGCGGCACCAATAAAGTAAAAAAAGGTGGCTCCTACCTTTGTCATAAAAATTATTGCCACAGATACAGATGTGCAGCTCGTAGCGAAAATACACCTGATACATCAGCTGGAAATCTAGGTTTCCGGTGTGTGATATCAGCATAAGGAAGACTACATGCCAAAAGAGTTAAAGGTAATAAAGATTATTGTGAAGATTGATGATTGTATTACGAATTTAATTTTATAAATAAAATTGTACATTTTTCTCTGTGAAACTGCAATATCCCAAAATCTTGCTTTTTATCTTAAAAAGTACAAATAGATTGATCTATTTTGCAATACGACGGATTTTAGAATATATACGTTATTTATATATAAAGTAGCTTTATATATTTTATTTAAGATTTTAATTATATTTGGAAATATAAAAGATACCAGTTGTGCTTTGCGTTGAGTCATTACTTGCGTTGTATCTCAAAATGTTTTAGAAAAATTTTACTATAAATCTATAGTTTAATTAACGTGAATTATAGATTTTCAGTAAACTTAAAAAAAAGACGTTTTAAAAAGTAACTAAAAAATAGGGTCTGCTTGATTGGTCAATGGGCGCATTCAGTAGAAAAAGCGCTCAGTGAGCAATCAACGATTATTGGTTCTTGCTATTAGATCCCTAAATCTAGACCAATTACATTGACAAATTACTCAACTGTTGTGCAACTGTTGAGTCTGCTGAATGCAGCCAATGGCTGCGTTCAGCAGGGAAAGCTGCTTTGCAACTTATAAAATTCGTAAATCTGATTGGTATATGCTTTTGGATTCAACCAAAATTAAAAGCATACTCCAATCAGATTCATGAATTTTACAATAGTTGCAAAGCAGCTTTTTCTGCTGAACACAACCATTGAATCGTACTAGATGCAAAAATGTCAAAAGTGCAAGCAACATGAACAAACTTAAAGCCAGCGGCACACGATGCTTGGTTTCGTGCTGAATTGCTTACTGGATAGAAATACTCTGTTTTGATTGGTGCATTTCCATCCATCTTTAAAAATGCACCAATCAGAACATAGTATTTCCATCCAGCAAGCAACCAACAAGAAAACAAGCATTGCGTGCTGCTGGTTTTAGAAAGAAGAGTTCTCAATGGATTTCGCTCATCACGCATAAGGGCTATCGCACACAAATTGACATAACTGCATATGCATAGCATAAGACCGTATGTACCAATGAGCATCGAGTATTAAGTCGCCATATTGGTGTTCGATGCTTAATATTCGATGCTCATTGGTCCATACAATCTTATGCTATGCATATCAGTTATGTCAATTTGTGTGCGATAGCCCTAATACGCAATGGACATTAGGTACAAAAGTGTCAAAAGTGCAAGTAATGTGAACAAACCTAATGTTTCGAATGTTTTACTAGGCGTGTCCATTGTGAGTGAATTGATGCGCAAAGTATTTTACATATTTTATATACATATTTTAGTGTCAAATACAGTAGATGGATATTACATGCATGTAGTTTGTGAGTACTCTTTCTGTTGTTATAGCAAGAAAATTTCAAACGTAACAAAAAATCTACTATGAGTCATCTGTTAACATTTACATCAGTTTGTTATTTGATTTCTGTCACACTATCGACGTTGCTTACAGTTACTGAGCTGATACAATTATTAACAAGACAAAATAAACAGGAGCAAGCTTAATCATTTGACAAAGTTGTAAATAGTACTGTATTATTTATTGCTTTGTTGATTACATGATGTCTTCCAGAAAAAATATATACTGTTAAGTGCATATTAAATATATTTTGCAACACAAGGGGCCTATATAACAGATTAAGTGTTTAAGTACTTCATCATTTGTAAGTAAAAGTAAAATTGTTAACATATTTTTCTTTTTTACTTTATTTTATATTTGATGTTTGAGCTGGATTTTCTTTGACAGTGGGTTAAGATGCATTATGGAAAGAAGTCACCCAGCATGGGAACACCATCTGTGTATTCCCATGTAACTACTCGCAGCAGTGCGAATCTGAGATCATCAAGGTCCGCACGTAGTGTCAAAATTCCATGGTATCAGAAACCAATACTCACACATGCTTTTGTATTGGATATTCAAAGAGGAGCTATGTTTACTGCCATATTCTCAGCTGTAAGCATTTAATGAAATTAACTTTTGAATACAGATTTTCTATTGAATTATGTTAAAAAAGAAATATATTTTCAGTGTCTGGCTTTTTTTACGGTATGTACAGCCATCTTTGATATCTATTGCCTCTCACAAGCTGCGCCTGGCTCTACGCACTATGGATATTATATTATATCATATGAATTTGTATATGTGGGCAATCAACATAGTAAGTTTACTAAAAAATTTGCATGATTATTTCTGCAAATATAAAGCAAAATTAAATGTAAAAATTAAATGTAAAAAGACAAAATTAATGTAAAAATTTACAGAATTGTAAAATAATACATAATTTATTTGTTTCAGTTCGAAATGCTCTAATTGTTTTTGCATTATTTTCAATGTTGGGTGGAATAGTTGTCTTTGTTACTTCTCTGATGTTGATCAGAGCTTTGCGAAAAGAATATGAGAAAAAAATGGTACCATGGCTATACAGTTTCGCCATATTTTCTATTTTTAGATTACTCGCCTTCTTATTCTTCAGCATTGTAAACGATATGATATTTGCTTATAATGTTTTGATGTGCCTTCTATGGATAGTATTTATCTGTGTTTCTATATATGGTTGGCTCATCGTGTATTCTTTATATCTCGAATTATGCGATCTAACAAGATTAGAAGATCTGGCTCATCTTCGGGTAAGATATATTTTCTTTATTATAAAAAAAAAATTGATATAACAATCACAGAATATGCAAGAGCAAAGTTCTCTTGCCGCAACTAATACTCATTTCCATCAAGATCATTTAAATCTTAATCCAAATTTAAATTATTAATTTAATTAATTTAAATCTTCTAGGGCCGATTTTCCAATGATAGTTTAAATTTAGATTTTAACTTAAACTCTGTTTAAACAAAACAAACGCATTGTTAGAATAGAGTTTAAACTTGAATCCAAGTTTAAACTGCTATTGAAATCGTCCCTGAATAAACTCAGATTAAGCTTTAATCGGCATTGATAGAAACAGGCATAATATAATTAGTTTCTAATATATTATATTTTGTTTCAGATTGGTACAATGCAATCTCTAAATGCATCGACAACACATTCCATCGCTGGATCTCGACCAACAACTCCTCACAGCGCTGTATCAACTATGCCTGTTAATTAAACATGATACATGTATGCATTATAATTTTATATTTTATATTTACAAATTTTCTCTAATATACGTTAAGACAAAGCGACAAACCAATCAAAGTAATTTTTGGAGCTAAGTAGTGATATATGACGATCATGTAATTGAACTAATGCGTACAACGAACTTGATGAAAGAGTTGTATAGTTATACATAACTATATATATATATATATATATATATATATATATATATATATAT